CTTGGAGAGAGTTAAACCAAGTTTCTCCTTGGAGACAAGGGTTTTTAAGCTCCATCTCACATACTTTGGGCATGTTGCCAGGAGAAACCAGTCTTTGGAGAAGGACATCATGCTTGGAAGGGTGGAGGGACAGCATATAGGAAAGGAAGACCCTAGATGAGATGGATTAACACAGTAACTGGGGTAATGGGTGCAGGTATGTTGGAGACAGTGAGACTGGCTCAGGAGAAGGCAGGCTTCAGAGTTGTTGTACCTATGCCACTATGAGTCATAGGTGACTCAATGACACATAACAATAACAACATTGGTTTGCTAAAAAGTTTGTATACTTTGTGTGTTTCACACTGTGTTTCATAAAACAATTTGCATTCATTATATTTTATGCCCACCATTACCCTATCTTTCCAGATCTCCATCAGATCTTTCCCATTTTCATTACCTCTCCCCTCCATTCACCCACCAATTTGTGCAATCTTATGTTTCCCCCCTGCTCATCCTATCCCCTTTGCTCTCACCTCTCCATTTTGGATCTTCATACACATTTTATTAGTTATCTTTCTACTTCTACAATAATGGCCTTATCCGGTATTTTCCTTATAAGACTGAGTTACTTCACTCAGTATGATGCTCTCCAGTCTATGCCATGTTATGTAGTAATTTTCAAAACTGTTGCTCTTGAGTGCTGTGTAGTATTTCCATCATATGAATGTGCCACAATTTCTCAACCCATTCTATTATGGCTGGATATTTGGACAGTTTTAATGTTCCTACAATTATGAATAATGCTGCTATGAACATTGTGGTACAAATCTCCATTTGTGTCTCAGTTCTAATTTCCTCAGGGGTATTCCAAGCTGGATCATACGGAATTTCTCTATGTTCGGCTTTTTGAGACAATGCCAAATTGTTCTTCAGAATGTTTGAACTATTTTACAATCCCACCAACAGTGTATGAGAATTCCCATCCTATCTTTCCACATCCTCTCCAATACTTATGGCTTCCTGTACTATTAAACTTTGCCAGTGCTACTGGGGTGAAATGGTACTCATTATGGTTTTGATTTCTATCTCTTTTATTGCCAGTGATTTTGAGCATTTCTTCATGTGTCTGTTGGCCATCTGAATGTCTTCCTTTGTGAAAAGCCTTTCTTTCCATGTCTTTTTCCTCACTTTGTAACTGTGTTATCAGTCTTTTTCTTGTGGAGGTCCTGTAGGATTCTGTAAACTTTTGTTATGAGGCCCTTTTCTGAGAGGGAATTGCTAAACATTTTTTCCCAATCAGTAGGTTTTCTTTTCACCTTTTTGGGAAAAGGTGTTGATGCTCACAGGATTTAATCTTTATAAGGCCCCATTCATCAATTCTATCCTTTCCTTGTTGTGTATTTATGGCTGTATTTGTCAGCTTTTTATACCATAGAGTAGGCCTTCTAAGCTTGGTCCCAATTTGTCTCTTTATGATCTTTATGGTTTTGGACTCTGCTCCTATGTCTCTGATCCATCTTGAGTTGATTTTTGTGTATGGCGAGAGGTGTAATTCCTGCTTCAGCTTTCTGCAATAAGTGGGCCAGTTTTGTCAGCACCATTTGTTGAAGAGGTTGTTATTTCCCCATTTGATGGGTTTTGTTTCCTTCTCAAATATCAGCTGTCCATAGATAGATGGATTAATTTCTGGGTTCTTGATTCTATTCCATTGATTTATGTGCCTGTCATTTTACCAACACCATACTGTTTTGGTTATTACAGCTGTGTAGTAGATGTTGAGATCAGGATAACGTTTCATTCTTGTTTTTCAGAAGTGTTTGCTTATTTGGGGTCTCTTTCTTCTCCAAATAAACTTTCTAGCCCTTTGAAAATGGAATTCGGTATCTGTATTGGGGGTGCGCTGAATATGTGATTGCTTTTGGTAGGATTGTCATTTTCATGATATTGAGTCTTCCTATCCATGAACAGAAAACATTTTTTCCATTTCTTTAGGTATTTTATTGTTTCTCACAGAAGCATTTTGCAGTTTTCTTTGTAAAGGTCTTTTGTGTCTCTAGTTAGTTGTGTCTTAGTTTGTGGTTGGCTATTGTAAATAGCACTGGTTTCTTATTTTCCTTCTCTGTGTTCTTTTTGTTACTATAGAGGAGTCCCACTGACTTTTGTATATTGATCTTGTATCCTACCACTCCAATAAATTAGTCTACTAGCTCAAACCATTTTTGTTGTTGTTGTTGAGTACTTAGGGTTTTCTGTGTACACTATCATATGATCTGCATAGTAGCAAAAGTTTCATTATCACTTTGCCTATCTGGATGCCTTTTATTTCTTTTTTCTGCCATATTGCCCTAGCAAGTACTTCCAATAGGATATTGAATAGGTGACTTTGGGCATCCTTGTCTGGTCTCTGTTTGCAAGGAAAATGCTTTTAGTCTTTCTCCATTGAGAATTATATTGGCTCTTAGTTTATGTATATCCTTTCACTAAGTTGAAGAAATTCTCTTCTATTACTATTTTGCTGAATACTTTAATCAGAAAGTGATGTTAGATTTTGTCAAAGGCCTTTTCTGCACCAATGACTAGGATCATTGTTCTTATTTGCTTTGTTAATGTGATGAATTATGTTGATTTTTTCCTTATGTTGAACCATACTTGCATACCTGTTATGAATCCCACTTGGTTATGAAGAATTATTATTTCTGATGTGCTGTTTGTTTTTATTGGCCAGGATTCTGTAAAAGATTATTGCATCAATATTCATGGGAGATATTGATCTGTTGTTTTCTTTTTTTGGTAATATCTCTGCCTGGTTTTGAAATTAGGCTTTTGTTTCCTTCATAGAATGACTCTGGGAGTGCTCCTTCTTTTTCTATTTTTTGAAATAATCTATTTCTTCTATAACTAAATCGTGCTAGCAGGCTGTTATTTAGTTTCCACATGGTTTTGTAAGCTTTACTCTTGTTAATTTCTAGTTTTATGATATTGTGGTCTAAGAACACATTTTGTATTATTTCAGTGTTTTTAATTTGTTGAGACTTGCTTTGTGTCCTAATATATTAACAATTTCAGCTGCTTTGGTCCACAATCAACACTCTTGGCACTGGCAGTCAGGAAATCAAAATATTAATTGCTTTGGAAAAATCTGCTGTCAGGGACCTTTCCAGAGTGCTAAATAGCAATGATGTCAGTTTAGAGACTAAGATGCACCTCATTCAGGCCATGGTCTTCACAATTACTTGGTATGTATCAGAGAGCTGACAGTGTGACTAAGGCTGACAGAAGAAGAATTGGTGCCTTTGAGTTGTTGTGCTGGAGAAGAGTATTGAATATACCATGGACTGCTAAGAGAATAAGTAGGTTTATCCTAGAGAGGTTGAAACCAGGCTGCTCCTTGGAGGCAAGGGTTTAGAAGCTCTGTCTCACATATTTTGGGAATATGGCCACGAGGGATCAGTCCCTGGGGAATAACATCATGTTTGGAAGAATAGAGGGACAGCACAGGAGAGCAAGACCCTGGATAAGACGGATTGACACAATAACTGAGGTAATGGTGTAGGTGCGTTGGAGACAGTGAGACTGACTCAGGATAGAGAGGAGTTCAGAGCTATTGTACATAAAGTCAGTATGAGACACAAGTGACTCAATGGCACATAAAAACACATTAGATACCCGATTTAAATAAGTTTAACTTCATATTAGTCAATGCCAGGATATAGTCTTTGAATGTTATTACTTTGAATTATGCAATAATATCTAACATTCCCAAACTGTGTTTTGAATGTTTGATTATAATTGGGGAGGAAAGATCACAGTTTCTTTAAAATAAAGTCTTTACTGAAAAGAAAAGCAACACAGCATATCACCTAACTCTTATGCTTAAAAGACATTCAGGTTTTCACCTGTGTGGCTTAAAGTGTAGAGAATTATTGAAGAGTGGTTTTACCCTTGTTGTTATTATATGCTATTGAGTCAGAACCGACTCATGGATGACCCTTCAGCAAGTTTTCAGAAGCCTGGGAGGAGCAGCTGGTGGATTTGAACCTCATACCTTTGAGTTGACCTCACAACTCCTTACCTCCTAAGCCTGTTCTCCTCCTTAACCTGGAAACCCCCTCTCCAGACGTTCTTATGTCTGGTTTCATCTCACTGTTCAAGTCTCACTCAGTGTGAAGGCACTTTTGCAGGATAGCCTTCTCTGCACTCCTACCATAAAGTACTTTTCTGCCCCCCCAGCACACTCTATCCATCTTCTGTGTTTCCCCTTCTGTCATATTTGTTAATATTTTAAAAAACTTTATGTCCTTTCTTGCTTATTTATTATTTCTTCCCCTCAAAGTCTCAAAACTCATTGCCTCAGAGTCAGAAATGACTCATAGCTGACTCTGCCTGGGTTTTGAAGGCTGTAAAGTACACAGGAAGAGATTGCCCATCTTTCTCTTGTAGAACCATTGGTGGATTTGAATCATCAGAGGTGTGATCTTTGAAATGATAGAGTACAGCTCACTACAAACTATGTTTACATTTCAAAAGAAAAGAATCCTGCCTGTTGTGTTTATTTCTGTACCAGACACAATAGATGCTTAATAATTATTGAGTAAATAAACAAGTTTCCTGTAATGTTGTAGCATTTTGTAACCTCCACTTTGATGATTTCTTGGCCTTCTTGTGTATCTTTCTTTTTTTTTTTTTTTTACTGGCATTGATTTATTGAAAGTTATGGATCACTGTGCTCTCCTGAGCTCCATTCATAGGGAGCAGTCTGGTCTCGAGTCCCAAGTTCAGAGTAACCAGAGATGTACCACGCACTGGAATCTCAGAGCTTAGGCTCAAGCAGTTTTGAGCTGCCCTTCCCTGTTGGTTGGGGTTTGAGGGTGACAGGGGCCAGCTTAGTCAGGAACTTTCACATAAAGTTCATGGGAAATTATAAAACAATAAAAAAAGGATCCACATTTTAAAAGGTATAATTTACAACACATTCTGTACAAAAGCAGTCTTTAAAAAACAAGAGTGCTGATGTTAGATCAGAAGAAATCCATGGCAGTTGGTCTTTTCTTTGGAGGAGGGGTGGACATCACTTTCTTGGGCGCCACAGGAGTGCTGCAGGGAGAGCTTGTGGGTGTCTTCAGGATGCCATGGAGGGGCCGCAGCTCAGGGTTGAAGGCTACTCGGAATGGGCCTGTGGGACTTACTAGGATACTCTTGTCTGTTTTCCTGAATTCTGCTGTCATGTTTCTGTTCAGCCCAAAGGTGACCTTCTTGGAGCTGGATGGGATCTTATTTAACTGGACGGTGGGGCTCATAAAGGAGATGGAGCCAGTGCTTCTAGCTTTTCTGAAAAACAAAGGCTTTGGTGTGAAGGGGGTGTCAAACTTCACAAAATCATTTTCTGCCTTCACCTTCTGCTTCTTCTTCAAAGGGCTGAATGCTTCACCATTACCCAGTGCATGAATATGATTGACTTCCATGTCCAAAGCCCCATTGTGCTCCACCAGGTGTGGCATCTCCTTCTCTCTCTTCCTCTTCCGTAAGACAGTGGCCTTTGGGTTAGGGAGGTCATAAAGGTCACACACATCAAGGCTGCCAGGTGTCCCTTTCTTTTTCCTCTTCTTTAGTCTCTGGGTTAGGGGGCAGTGGGTTTCCTTTCTCTCCTTGGGGTTGGTCTGAAGGCTTTCCTTCCCTGATGGAGACCAGGCCAGAACAGACAGGCTGTTGCCGTTGACTGGCAGGGCTCCGAGTTTCCGCTTCTTCTTCATAACCTGGAAGCCACCTTCTGAGGGACTGTGAGTGGAAGGTTCCTGAGCGTGGTCACTGCTGGGGCCACTTTGAACTGTGTCCTTTGGAGGTGGCACCACTAATCCTGGTACCTTCTGCCGGACCCTTAGAATCTTCTTCTTGGGCCGTTTCTTTTTGTTGCATGTCAGCATGGTTGGCGCATGCACCAAGCCACCCTGCTTCACGGTGCTGGAAGCTTCCGCCTCTGTCTCAGCCACACTTAGAACCTTCTGGGTTTTCCTCTTCTTTCCCTTTGGTTCATTGCTTTCGTTCTGGTTGGAGGACATGGCTTTGTCCCCTGAGCTCAAATTTTCAGGCTGGAGACGATTCTTCTTTTTCTTTTTCCTTTTCCTCTTCTGAGTACTGCCTCCACTCTCTTCCTCTACATGTAAAGATTTGTTTCCTTTCTCCTTTCCCAAATGGGTTTGCACTGAAGGCTTATTCCCCTTTTTCTTATTCTGTCCTTGACTGTTGGGTTGCTCATCTTCACCAGCAGAAATGTTCTCATCAAAATCGAACCGGGATAAAGTGCCTTCAGAAAAATCTTGGAACTTTTTGATTAGTTTAGAGAGACATTTCTGGTTGAAGGGAGGGATATTTTTCCTGCTGGTTATTTCCAGCAGTCGATTAGCTTTATGGTCAAACTGCAGCAGCGACCCAGGGTCTTCACAGGTGCCACAGCTGTTTTTCTCACCGGCATCAGTGATGCTATCTTTTCTTGAGTGATGTTTGCCTAGGGCTGTCTTCTTTTTGTTTGCTTTTCTTGATGTCACCTCCTTCTCAGAGATTTCTTCTTTAGAAAGCTCAGGGTCACACACTTTGGTTCTCTGCTTTTCCACCATCTTGTTAGGTACAAAAGAAGACTGATCCACAATGACTTCAAAAACACGCCTAGCTATTGCCTGGACCAATGCTTGGCTGAAAAGGGAAACACAACAGAGAGGACAAGATTAAGACAAGTAATATAAGGGAAGTGTGGCACGAGGTGGGCGGGGCGTAGCACGCAAGCGCCACACGCAAGCGCCACACGCAAAAGACGGGAGATTTCTTGTGTATCTTTCTTTATTATTCTTTCCTATTTTTTTCTGATTTCATGGGTTCAGAGGAATAAATATAAAATGGAGGACTTTCCATCACTCCTTTATATTGTTGCTGTTGTGTCAAGTCAGAACCAACTCACAACTGACCCTTCAGCACATTTTCATAGGCAGTGTAATTGCATGAGGGGAGATTCCCATCTTTCTCCCGCAGAGCAGCTGGTGGATTCAAACTGCATGCCTTTGGTACAGCAGAGTAGCTCTTTACCACGAGGCCACCAGAGCTTCCCTTCATCCTTTTGTACACTTTCTACACTTCATTCCAGACTTACCTTTAAGCATATACTGGGCAACAAGAAGGGAACTCTAGTGACACAGTGTAGGGGTGCTGGACTGTTAACCTAGCTTTAGTGTTATGTCTTTCTCTTTATATTTCTTTCCTATTCCTCCTGACTTTGTGAGTCCATTGAATTCTGTCCACCATGGATGAACCTGCTGATTTTTGAAATACCAGTGCCCTAGCTTCCAGTATCTTAGCAACAAACAAAACACCACAGTCTGAAGAACTGAAAGGCAGGTGGTGGCCTGAAAGAATAAAAAGGTACTACTTGCCAATAATTATATGTGCTCAGGTTTCCAGAGGAGATGATTCATTGATTTTATTTTAAATTATATTCAGTATTAGATGCCAGCAGAGCAACAACATCCTCAAAGAGCTCACAGTCAAACATAGAAGGCCAAACTGCCTCATTCTGACTCACAGTGCCCCATCAGACAGAGTAGAAATGCCCCCTAAGGTTTTGAGGACTGTAAATGTGTAGGGAAGCAGATGGCCACATTGTTCTCCTGTGGAGAAACTGGTGGAATTGAACCTTAACCTTTTGTTTGGCAGCTGAACTTTTTAACCATAGAGTCACCAGGACTCTAAGTGTGTAGGAGGTGGACATGTGTGAAAAGCTCAATAATTGAGGTATGAATTAGGTACAGATCAAGATGCTCTTTGATATCTGAATCAGAAAATTATGCAAAAGGTAGGTACTATTGGGATTGGTGCTGGAAGCAAGAGGAGCTAGAATAGCTCTTTACCAGGTAACCAATCAGAAAAAAAACACTGAAACAGATAGCTTTGTAGATTGTGGGGAAAATCTCTACTTCTCTTGCCACCAGTAATTATTCATTCAACCAGCCAATTAAAATAACATTAACTTGGTTTCCTAACTTAAAAGTTCTCATAATCTAATAAGAAAACTAAGACGCAGACACTAGACACCCCACTCTAGAAGCAGATTGCCTGGGCTTAGTCCTCTGCTCTCCCACTGCACTAACCTATCTCAACTAGGGCAGCAATTGCACTTTGCTAAGCCTTTGCTTAGATAGTAATTGCTCTCACAGTGCCTTGTATATAGTAAATGTTTAATACCATATGGCGTTATTATTTTATTTTTAATAAACTGTTTAGGGTGTTGAGATTGTAGAAGAGGCACTAGATCCAGTGTCAATGGTGATCATAATTTTTTTTTAAAAATTAAAATTTATTTTTATTTTAGGGAGGTCTGGTGGCCTAGTGACAAGAAACTGTGCTGCAATCTGAAGGTACACAGTTCAAGGCCATCTGCTGCTCCACGGGAGAGGGATGGGCATTCTCCTCCAGTGAGAGTAACTGCTTCTGAAAACCCACTGGAGGGTCAGCTAGGGCTTGGTTCCAATTCTATGGTACTTAACAACAATATTTATATTTTATGTTAGGTTGTGTACAAAGTTTTTATATATTGTGTTTCATTTCTATACATTGTGTTTCACATATTTCTTCATTATCATTGTGTTTCATACATCATTCCTGTACATTGTGTCTTATAAAATTAACCACCACTGATCTATATCCACTATTACTCCAACTTTTCAGGTTCCCATCAAATCTTCCCTAATTCCTTCACTCCCTTCTCTGCCCACCACACTGAGAGACCTCATGGATCCTACCCCCACCCCCAGTTCCCCTTCCCTCTCCCTTTTCCCTTTGAACTTTGTACACATCTTACTAGATATCCTTCTATTTCTACAATAATGCCCTTTGGGCAATATTTGTCCTTATGATACTGAGTTAGTTCATTCATCATAATGGTCTCCAGCCTCTCTTATGTTTTAAAGTATTTTTCGCTATCACTTCTTCTAAGTGTTGCATAGTATTCCATTGTGTCAATGTACCACAGTTGCTCAACCTGTTCATTTGTTGATGGACATCTGAGCTGTTTCTATTTTCTTGTTATTGTGAATGACACTGCTATAAATATTAGTGTACAAATCTCCATTTGTGTCTCTATTTTCCTCAGGGTGTTATTAAGATCCCGGTGACGATATAATTGTGACTATATTATTTCATATGCATTTTATTATTTCTTAATCAGCTCCTTTATTTGTTTTCTTCATTATTCACAGTTTGAATTTTTTTTGTATGTTGATGAAGGTATTACATAACTTCTCTCAGGTTAATTACTTCACCTAAGTTTTATATTAGTTGAGGGGTTTAACTCAGTTTCTGAAGAGATTTCCTTATGCTTGGAAAAGGAAGACCAAGACCTCGAAGACTGACTACTAGGTAGGAGATAGGACTAAGTGAAAATGCTGAATTTAAGCTTTGGAAGGAGGAGACACGCTGTCACACAGCAGATGCCCCAACTCAAATGCTTATAGATTCTGACTTGTTAGGGAATGAATTTAATAATAGTCTGATTTCTCACTAACTGACTTAGCTAATGATATGAAATACAAGTTTCTTTATTTTTCTTTTTTTCTAAACTTGGAGATCCATATTTTTATGAGAAATCTCCTAGCATCTGAATATTACCCCCTCCCACTGCCATTGGCAACTCAACAGCGTATAACAGCAACTGCCTTCAAATTGGTATGAGCCCTAGCCACCCACCCTCTAGGACAGTAGAACTGCCACAAAGGTTTGTTGGGTCCTGCACCATTCTGAGAGAATTGAGAAACAAATCCAAGCCTCGAGTTGCAATACTGAAGGATTCTATGGGTAAAATCTTAAATTATCCAATATTGCATCTAAAGAACACAGAATAATACATAGAATCACTATTGTTGTTGTAGCCTGTGACCCTTAGCAACCATATGTACAATAGTTTCAAACCCTGCCCGGTCCTGAGGCAGTCTCACTGACTCAGACACACCTAATCCCATTGCCCCAGTTACTGTATCAATCTATCTCATCTGAGGTCTTCCTTTATTGCATTGTCCCTCCGCCCTTCCAAGAATGATGTCCTGCAAGGACTGGTCCCTCTTGGCCATGTGCCCTAAGTATGTGAGACAGAGTTTCAAAATCCTTGCCTCCAAGGAGAAACTTGGTTTCACTCTCTCTAGGATAGACCTATTTGTTCTCTTGGAAGTTCATGGCCTGTTCAATACTCTTTTCCAGAACCACAACTCAGAGCCATCAATTCTTCTTCTGTCATCCTTAGCCATTGTCCAGCTCTCTGAATGCATAGCATATAATTATAAAGACCATGGCAAGGATATGTTGTTGTTGTTGTTATGTGCCGTCAAGTCGTTTGCGACTCATAGCAACCCTATGTACAACAGCCCTAAACCGTGCTCTATCCTGTGCCAATCTCATTGCCTCTGACACACCCATCCCGAGTACCCCAGTCACTGAATCAATCCACCTCATAGAGGGTCTTCCCCTCCTGCGCTGTCCCTCTACTCTACCCAGCATGATGTCCCTCTCTAAAGACCTGTCTCTCCTTACAACATGTCCAAAGTATGTCAGACGAAGCCCCAGAATCCTTGCCTCCAAGGAGCAGCCTGGTTTAATCCTCTCTAGGCTGAATCTGTTTGTTTTCTTGGCAGTCCATGGTACATTCAATACTCTTCTCCAGCACCACAGCTCAAAGGCGTCAATTCTCCTTCTATCCTCCCTAGTCATTGTCCAACTCTGATGCATAAAAAGTGATTGCAAAAACCATGGCCTGTATCAGGCTGACCTTAGTCTCCAGAGAGACACTGTTGCTCTTGAGTATTTTGGAGAGGTCCCTAACCACAGACTTTCCCATCGCAATACGTTTTTTGATTTCCTGGCTACTGGTGCCAAGAGTGTTGACTGTGGACCCGAGCAAACTGAAGCTGTGAACAATCTCAATCTCTTCGCCATCCATCCCGATGTTACCGATTGGCCCAGTGGTGAGAATTTTTGTCTTGACATTGAGCCTCAGTCCATATTGAAGGCTGCAGTTTTTGACCCTCTGCAGTAAGTGCATGAGGTCCTCCCTCAGTTTCAGCGAGCAGGGTTGTGTCATCTGCATAACGCAGATTGTTGATAGATCGTCCACCAATCCTAACGCCACGCCTCTCCTCATAGAGCCCCGCCTCTCGGATAATCTGCTCTGCATACAGGTTGAAAAGGTATGGAGACAGGACACATCCCTGACGTACACCCTTCCCAATTTTGAACCATTCAGTGTTGCCCTGCTCTGTTCTGACTCCTGCCTCTTGGTCCAAGTATAGGTTTCGCATTAGCACGATTAAATGTTCTGGGATTCCCATTCTTCTCAGAGTCAGCCACAGTTTGTTATGATCCACGCAGTCAAATGCCTTTGCATAATCAATGAAACACAGATAGACATTCTTCTGGTATTCTCTGCTTTCAGCTAAGATCCATCTAACATCAGCTACAATATCCCTAGTACCACGACCCCTTCTAAACCCAGCCTGGACTTCTGGCAGTTCTCTGCTGATGTACTGTTTCAGTCGTTTTTGGATAATCTTCAGTAGAATCTTGCTTGCATGTGAAATCAATGATATTGTTCTGTAGTTTATGGCAAAGATATAAAAAAAAATTGGTTGACATGGAAGCATTTCAGAAAATTTGATCAA